CTGTTGTGGAGTGTAGGGTGGCACTACCTCATACACAATTCCTTCTTTTTCACATAATTTGTCGAAGTCTTTTGACACATACTCTCCACCACCATCAGTTGTCAAAACTTTGAGCTTTCGAACACTTTGTCTTTCGACCATAGACTTAAACTTGGAAAATACCTTGATCACTTCACTTTTCTTCTTGATCAGGTAAGTCCATAATTTACGACTAAAATCATCTATGAATGTAACAAAGCATTTGTTACCTCCATTCGAATCCACCTGGATTGGTCCACATATATCCGAGTATATGATTTCAAGAATATCCCTTGACATGCTTCCTGCATCCTTGCTAAAGTTGTTCGTGTACTGCTTCGTCTGCACACATTCCTCACACACCTCGTTTGGAATGTTGATTTCTGGACACTCTAAAACCATATTTCTTCTTTTCAAATCTCTGATGTCTCTGAAGTTGAGATGGCCTAGCCGATAGTGCCATATTCATTCATCTCTACTAGTTGAAGTCAAAAGGCACTTGTGCTCCATCATATTTAGTTCGATCTTGAAGGTTCTATTTTGAGACACGGGAGCCTTCAGGATTAACCTTCCATTTCCGTCGACGAATCTCATCATCTTGTCTTTGATCGACACTTTGTAGTTCTTTTCGACCAACTGTCTTATACTGAGAAAATCGCTCTCCATGCCTGGTATGTACAACAAATTGGAAATTACTGGCCTCTTACCATCTTTTCTCATAATCATAACATCACCAATACCTTCAGCTTCTACGGTATTGTCATTTGCGAATTTCATCGTATTCTTCATCGAGGATTTTATATTGACAAACCAATCTTTCCTTCCATACATGTGTGATGAGCATCCTGAATCCAAGTATCATTGATTCTTGAATCTATCTTCATCTCTTTCAGTGACCATCAACATCATCTTCTCTTCTTCATGTTTTGTAAAATTTGCATCACTTTCTTGATTCTTTCATTTTTCTAGACAATCACTAGAATATTAACCATGCTTATGACAATTGAAACACTAAATGTGACTCTTGTCAGGCTTTCAACCACCACCTCTTCCTCTATTTGCAACACCACCTCTTTCGTTGCCTTGGTATGGTCTTCTCTGTTTTGACACATTTTCTTCGTGTTGGTTTCCTCTACCATCCTAATTGTTGTAGCCTCCTCTACTTTTGTTGTCTAACCACTTTCCTTTGTCTTTATCATCTTTTGTTGATTGAGCCTACAAAGCCACATCATTCTTCGACTTTCCTGCAACTCTTTCAGCCATTTTTTGTTCATAAAATTCAAGCGTCCCTTGAAGCTCTTCTTTAGACAAAGTTGACGTGTCCTTCGACTCTTCTATGGAAACTATCACATGATTAAACTTAGGAGACAAAGATCTCATGATCTTTGAAACAACTGCTCTTGTTGTTAGTGTCTCTTCAGAAACCTTGATTTGATTCACTAGTTTCGTAATCCTAGTGAAGAAATCAGACATGCTCTCGCTATCTTCCATCTGAAGTAATTTATACGTTCTTTTATGAATTTGTAACCTCACCTCTTTCACCTTCTCTGCATCTTCAAAAGATTTCTTAAGTATCTCCCAAGCTTCTTTTGCCTATTCTACATAACTAACCTTTTCGAAATTGTTTGGACTCAGACATTGATGAATTATAAATAGAGCTTTATAATTTTTCTTCTTTGATTCTTTGGATTCCTTCTCTTCTTCTTTGGAGGCATCTTCTTCAAGCATTTCTAATTCATATTTCACAAGATCCCAAAGATCTTAACAGCAAAACACAACCTTTATTCGCTTGCACTAATTCTCGTATTTATCAGCTTTAAGAATTAGAAGACTTGCTGGAAAATGCCCGTTTGGATGATTCATAGCCATCGTGATTCTCTTCTTCTTCTTTCATTGATCGCTCAACTGGAGCTCTTGATACCAGATATTAGAAATCTACCAAAATCTATGATGAATTTCTATCAATCTTGATGAACAAGATTGTTATGACCACACAATGACAATGAAAAGAAAAATTAAAGAATAAAAGATATTTAGGAATTCTACAGAGTAGCTCTTTGTCCACAAACTGTGGAAAAATTTCTTATTCACTTGCAACTGTAAATACTGTGTATGAATGAATTGATTACAAAAATATGAATTACTTCCTCTATTTATAATTGATCTTGCTTTCTCCCTAAGTCAAAAGTCCAAAACTTTAAAAGCTCAAAATACTTATTTTGGACCTAAATCAAATATGTGTGTAGCAACTGCTTCGACACACCTAACAACTCGACATACTAAGCCAATTCGACATAACCTTGTGTCGAGCAATATATTACTTTCGACACAAGAAATTACACTTTCAACATAATGATGTTTAGATAATGAGTCGCAATGTTGTCCTGGAAAACGTTTCAAATATTCTGACGACCTTAGAGGCTGAACTGGATATCTAAGCTCCATTGATAATGTGAAATACTTGAATCTCTCGCAAAAAATATATATATATATATTTTTAAGGGAACAAATCGTGTGAAGTACTGAACCACAACATCTATCTTTACTCGGTTATAAGTCTCCAAACAAGTGTTTAGAAGCTCTCCGTACAAACATCTATCTTTACTCGGTTAGAAGTCTCCAAACAAGTGTTTAGAAGCTCTCCGTACAAACCTCCCTGGTTAGTTTGTGAGGTAAGTTGGAATAAAAGATGTGAAAGTGCCATGGTTCTCATAGTGTTCTTACTAATCCAGGGAAGATATAGTTTGGTGATCTGGTATGTAATCATGATAGACCATTTTAATTTAGTTTCTATGGTATTGTAGTTTTTTCAAATTTATTTGATACGAAAATAATGTATTTTTGGTGGACAATTCAGTTTCACTATTATGTTAATGAAGGGTCATGAGGGAAATATTTATATTGGGTTGAGAGTAATCACGCAAAGGAGAGAGACACTACATCTTCACCTTAAATTTTAAGACATTAGAGACATGAACTCTCTCATTTATAAATCAGTTAACCTCCACTTTTTCAAACAATACACTATTTCTAAATCACTCTTATATCACAATAATCTCCTCTCAAGTGTGAGTCTATCCAATTATATGCTCCTTTGTATTGACATCCTCACTGTGTCAGAGACACTTCAACCGAACACATCATGTGACCACCACCATGTCATCCAAGCCACCACTTCTGTATTGTTCTTGTTCCTCTCTAGAGACACATGCTTAAGTAAGCTTCAACGCTTACTTTCTATTTTTTATATTTAATGGAGAGTAGGACAAATATATAAACACTTCAATGAACTTTGTAGAAATGACATATTTACAAATAAGTTTATTGCACTTTTAGATTTTATTATAGTTATATTGTTTTGTTTATATTAAAGAATATGACATTGACATTAAAATTTGTTGAAGATCTATTGTGTTGCTAAAAAATATCTTTTGTCATTCTTTTTTATAATGATTAAAAATTTCATAAATTGAAATTCTGGTACAGGTAACACATACAAACAAAATTGTCTTAATAGCAGATGATGTCGAGACAAATGTTACAACATCTGGTAACAAACCAGATCAACCAAGCTGAATATGATACAGAAAATTAAACTGCGGAATAAAAAATAACAATGAGTTCTTAACTCAGTTCAGTGCAACATCACCTACTCTAGGGGGACTACCAAGTCAGGAAGGAAGTCCACTATCAGCATGATTAGTTCAAAGCTAAATTCTCTCGTTTACAACTTCTTGCATAATCCCTATCCAATGCAACTTCTACCTAGGTCCTCCCTAAATATGAGAAATCACCATCTCACTTTCTAAATCACCTCAGTGATATCTAACGGTCACAATCCCAGTAACTACAACAAAAACAACCCAACTTAGAAGATCATACTTCCATTACAATAACTCAAACTCTTGCTTAAAAACTTCGAGTGAGAACAATAACATGAAAAACTGTCAAGTAACAATCTGTCTACCACATAATATCATAAGATACACGGATGACTTGCAATATGTACGAGAGACTCTCAAAACCTAAGCTTATGCTTCCCCTAATTTTACAATTGTTAAAAAATTTAAAATACATTAGGTTACGATTCCTCTATTTATACACCTTTGCAGTACATTGGCTTCGATATTCTGATCTAGAAGTTTCTTGATCCATAAGCTGAGTGATGCACCAATTGTGCAAACAATCTCCTTCAATCTTAGAACAAACTGATACATAGTTTCCTAATTTGTCTCAAAACCCAAATAAGTATCTTTTGTACAACTGGAGATATAATCTTGTTCCAAAATAAATCTCTTGACCTGCGAAAATCTATGATACATATCCAAAGGAAATATATCATAAACAAATAAAATCTGTCAAGATTTAAAAATATAACAATGCCTTGACTGCTGCAACCAGAACACAATGTCATGACATCTTATTCGACATCTGATCAGAATCATGTTTTAGGTAAAAGTTGTCAATCCCAAAACTATAGTACTAACATAAATTATATAATAAATCAATATGTAAAAAAAATTGACGAATCAACCCGTCAACTCGATAGTAAATAAGACAGACTTGACTTTTGAGTCCCGTTCCACCCCTAGTCTACAGGGAAAGAAAACAACAAATATAAGAACTAGACTAATAAAAGTAGTTTTCTTAGTTAAAAAGAAAAGTATTTACACCAAGTGTAAAAGCACAACCATGGAAGAAGAAAAAAAAAGGAAATACAGTGTCAAAAACAAATATACTTGATCACATTCATTATGAAAGTTTTATCACAATATTTTAGAGCCACAACGCCACCAAAACCTTCGCATGTCTTTAGATAAATATAAATGCTTATTCCGGAAGGTAAAACTCAAAACAAAATGAATTCTCATTTTAATATTGAAAAGAAAATAAATGAGGAATTCTAAATATTCATGCTAATATTGATATAATAAAGTGTGAAAAAGTTTGTTAAATAACAACAATATTTAAGAAATGCTGCGTTATGACGACACTGTTAAACTCTTCAAAGCAGTTGTAAGTTGAGGAAGCATGTCAGGTGCTCTCTGCTTGTAATCCTTCTCCAATGCTTTAGTCGCTAGAGATTGTAACTGTGATCCTTCCTTATCTTCCTTGTTCTTTCCTTTTGTAAGCTGTGCAATAGCAGAAGTACACTGGAGAAAAGGATCAAAACTCAATTTTCAAGCATATAAGTGAATAAGTTTGAAAGATGAATCCAAAAATCCCAAGTTGTTGAGAAGAAAATCAACAATCGGTCAAGGAAAATATCTCTCCAAAGCAGGACTATATACAGATAAGAGAATCATGAACTTGTAAGCTGTACAGGACCACAGAAAATAAACACTCAGATGGAAGGAGAGGGAGAAAAAGCTCACCAAGCATATACCGAAAAGTGCTCTGGTATTCTTGCCTCCGGTTAAGTCAATAGCGGATGCATAGTATTTCTTGGCAGTTTGGACATTTTCTAATCCACCAAGAGTATAAAGTACCTAACAATTTCATTCAAGTCAAGGTAATGTTTATAATTCTTACTACGTGAGTCTGTATTTCTCTAGGATGCAATGCTTAGTTTCTTTCTGTATTTAGAGCGAAAAATCGGGGAGAAGAATTTTATTTGACAAATAAAATAATCTCAGTTCGCAAAGAATTTACTTACATCAGCATAGGCTAAGTGATAAAGTGGAACAGTTGGTTGAGCTAATATCACTTCCTCGTAGCAAAATGCTGCTTGTTTATACCTAACAGGAAGACACGTCCAAAAAACAAAGATTAATAATTAGCAACATAAATAAATCCCTATTGAAAGAGATATGGAAATATAATATGACATAATAATCTTACATTTGCAGGGATAAGTATACTTCAGCCAGTTCCCTCCATGCATCGTGATCTGCCATGAATCTGAAAAAATGAGAAAAATCGTTCAGATATATGTTCTATCAGATGTAAATTATAAGCAATATTTTCCTTTTATCTTCAATTTCAGATGGGGGAAAATTAATACTAGATGTTTTACATTTCCAGATATTTATTAAGCCATTCAATAGCCCCAGAAATATTGCCTTGTGCCTTTGCCATAGCCACCCTCCTCTTATGGATGGTCTGTACAACAACAACACAGCCAAAAAGAAAAGTTAGGTTTACAGAACTCAAGAAAGCCTTGGCACAACAGTCAAAGTTGCTGTCGTATGACTAGAGATGACGGGTTCAAGTCATAAAGTTTGCTTCTTGCACTTGCAGAGTAAGAAAACCACAAATAGGACATAGATCCAACCCTCCCCTAAATTCCACCATGGTGAAAGCTCTATAGCATCAGGTTGCCCTTTTTGGTTTTCATTACTCAACTAGCCAGACCTTTTTGATAGGTTAAAGTAAAAGAATGAGATATATCAAGTCAAATTGACAAAACAACAAAAAAATGAGTCATTATTATTGTTACTATAAGATTTGTTTCATCACATAGAGCAACTGATCAACTAACTGACAGTTCCCCCTCTTCATTTTTCCCCAATAAGGTTAAGCAAGTTTACTTGATCAAGAGGATTATCCTCTAAAAGGCTTGTGTAAGCCTTTTCTGCCATTTCCCATGAGCCTTTTGCTTCAAGCAACATTGCCTCCAGCCTGCCTGTAACAATTAGTCACTACAAATAAAGTAAACAGACTTAGCAAGAATATGCATATGCAAAACAAACTCATTTGGATTTCAAACTACTAATGTATTAACATTATATAGCATCCCTCTTGAACGAAAGGAAAGCATCCATGTTAGTCACGAACCAAAATTTGTTCAAGATACCCTTCTTTATGCCTTCACATCCTCTTTGCAGCAAACAAACTTATTCTTAAGGCTAAAATCAGTTATTACAAAAACTCAGTGACGTGTTTTCGTAAATCAGCATTCATTTTGGTTTGATCAATGAGTTGAACATTGAACATTTTGTAGTGTTGTCATCATTATGCAGAAGGGGCACCATTGATACCATAAAGTTACCTAGTAGTAGTACTTGTTTCAAACTCTAAACTCCCCTTGCAAGCTTACTAGCATTAACCAGCTTGATCAATTGTCCCCATGCAATTGCGTGTTGTGGACTAGTATCAATACCAACAAGCTTATTATATACCCCTTTATGATTACTCTTCCATTTATATGAGAAGCACGCTACTTTTGCACCAAAGATCTTAGAGAAAAGGAATACCACAAATAGGATTACAACAGAATGAGATTGCGACATTGGCACCTCCTTCCTGATCACGGCTGAATAAAACAACGGTACAAATGTTTCCACTAACCTTGAAATCCCCAGCGAATTCCCATTGTTTGAAGACGACCAAAATAAAATCCAGACTAACAAACTTGAAATACTCCTCAAGTGTAGTCACGGCCATATCATAATCACATGTGCTTCTAGTTTCATAGAGAGCCCATGAACTTGCCTATCAAATTGATTGCACCAAAGGGAAACATGTGCGTAAGGTTTGAGGTGGAAAGTAAGAAAGTATAAACTTACCAACTCTTTTGCTCTCCGGAAACCTCTTTCGAAGAACCTTTGCACAGTCCTAATAAAGAATTAAATTATTATCAACTGCCCAATTCTCAACCAATAAAATTTCTCATCATATACGAAAGAAACTACAATAACAAATACTCAATTCAAGCAACATTATACAAAAGAAACCAATCAAAAAACAAGAAACCAACAAAATTGAGATCAAAACCTGAGCAACATCAACACATTGACAATCCATAGCTGCAACAGCAACCTGCTCATACAAACTCCATTCTGAATCAGAACAAAAAAATCAATCATCAGAAAAACTATCAACTGCATAAGAGTAAGATTACTCATAAAATAAAAGCAAAATTGAAATTAGGTTTATGGAGCAACCTTCGGGACCGAGATTGGATCGGAGTTTGGAGTCATTCAAGATCGATAAGCCGTGTTTGAGGACTTTACCGGAACGGCGTTGTTTGAGTTTTCTGACGAGTGAAAGATACTCCCATGCTCCTCCGCCACCATTGTCGACCTGGATTTCTAGATTGTTGAGTTCAGATTCCTCCGTTTTCGTTACCATTCTTTGCCAAATTTACAGATCAAAAATAAAATTGATAATATTACTGGATACTCGATACTTACTGTCATCAAAATAATTATAACTTTATTGAACAATTAAATTAAATTAAATCAAAATTTGGTAGGCTGTTAGAAAAACACAATTTTTTATAATATGCTTTAGCTACTACTGGCCATAGATTGATATCATTCTTAATATAAGAATTAAATACAATTTTAAATAAAAATGCTTAAAGGGTAGTAACGACGCATATACAAGAAATGAGACCCATAAAGGCAATGAAAAGTTTATATACATGGTTTTTCCTCAGGCTTATTCGCTAAAATATTTTTGAGTAAATTTTTAAAGATAGTGTACATAATGAAAAATAGTTTTACATTTGTCTACTACAATTTTGTCTCTCACTCCATTCATATCTCTAGTGGCTTTAAGTTTCATTTGTTTAATCCATTATCTTCATTTTCATTTGTTAATTAGTAGACGATTCGTGCGTCTGTACATAAGGATGGTAAACGGGCATGTTCGATTCGTTTAGGCATGTCCTGTAAAAATCTGTAAAAAAATAGGGTGAGACGAGGTGGGCATAGTTGAGGATGAGAGCTTAAAATCTAGGTCCGTCCCGCAAAAAAGCGAGTGCGGGACGGAGAAAGTCCGCTGACACTGCACCTTTTAAGCCTAAAAATGCAAAATTTTATGTTAATAATCATTGCCTGCAAAAGCCCGCGAAGAAAATGGGGCGGGGCGGTCACATTAGAGGGTGAGGGTCTAAATTCTTGACCCGCCCCACACTCAGTAAAGTGCGGATAAAACGGGCATGTCCAACGGACCGGACCCGTTTTGCCACCCCTATCTGTACGGGTAAATTCATTCTTATTTTAGATTATTTAATAACATCATTAATTATTAAAAATATTTAAAAATAAATATGTATCAAATCACTAACATGATAAATTTAATATATCTAATAACTATAAATATTTATAAATATTACTAATAACTATAAATATTTATAAATATTTTGTTGATTAAAATATTTAAAAAAATATTATGGTGATAATGACCCGCGAAAATAGTGAGTTTAAATGATAAAATTCATATGAGATAGTAAAATTTACAAATACCACTTATTGTTTTCTTAGAATACACTAATAAATTAATAGTTTTAGTGTGTTAGACAATTTTAGTGAGGAGAGAAAGGGAGAAAATAAAGAAATAAGAATTAATATTATTGAATTAATTAAAAACTGATTTACAATATGTCTATTTATATATATGATAAAATACTCATTTTGATTCATTAACTATATGTCATGGTTCAGTTTGGTCAACTAACTTTTTTTCGTGTCAAATTGGTCCATTAATTTTCAAAACGTAACAAACAAGTCCCTTCTGTCAGTTGGGCTCAAACATCTGTTAATTTAACCTACGTGACAGGTGAGCTGGCATGTTATCTTCATCTTTTTATATGTGTTTTTCACCATCCTTCCTTATACATCATTTTCTTCAACTATGCAAATCCTACTATGCTTCAGATGCGTTGTCATCTTTGTCTTCATATTGTTCAAGTCGTTTCACTCCCTTTCCCATGAATACCAAGTATTCTTCTTCACAAACGAACATGAAAAAAATCTGAAAGTGTTGAGTCATGTGTATACAGTAGCTCGCGATTCGCACCACTTTGCCTTTGTGGAGATAAAGTTGTTCTTTGTAGGGCAACCACTGAGAAGACTTTTGGAAAGAAATTTTGGGACTGTCACAATTACAAGGTAATCCCTAATTTCTGTTTGGGTATGTTAAAAACTGATAAACAAATTTTGAATCATTTTTGAAATTTGCAGGGATCTTTGCAAAGAGGATGTGGTTTTTTCAATTGGTTTCATGAGGAATTGGCAGAAGACATAAATCAAGTATTGATGAATAGGTTGGAAAGCATAGAAAAAGATTTAGATGAAACCAATAATCAGTACAAAAAATTGAGGGTTAGAAACGAAGAATTAGGGGATGTTGTGATGGAACTTCAAATTCAACTGAACAAGATGTTGAAGTGGAAAAAATTATTGAAGATTATGTGTTTTGTAATGTTATGTGTATGTTTCATTAAGTTGTTTTATGACTGTGTATTAGGTGTAATGTGTAATGTTATGTGTAATTGCAACACAATTTATCAGTTTAATATGACTTCTATTATTTGACATATCATTGTTTGTAGCAACATAATTTTGGCCATCAGCGGTAAATGAACATATCGAATTACTTGAACATATCAGATTAAATGAACATTATCAGTTTAATATGAACTGATAATATGAACTTGAACATATAATCAACATAATTTGTGGGCATTATCAGTAAATGAATATATCATATTAAATGAACATTATTAGATTATTTGCAACTTATCAGAGTACTTTAACATTATCGCAAAATGGCATTACTTTATATTGTTGAAAGATCTAAACATGCTACATAGACATGTTCTAAAATGCATAGACATGTTACATAGATATGTTTCAAAATGCTGACAGAAAAACATGTTACATAGACATGTTCCAAAATACTGATTAGAAGTTATATAATACCATAAACTACATAAAGCCTAAATATGACTAGATGGTTCTCTTTGGTGTGTTTCTATTGGTTGGAGTAGACCGCCTGGTGGTGGGACCAATTACATTCTTGGATGCTAAGAGTTGTCAGTTTCTTTTGCTTTCTCCTTTCCGTCTTGCCCTGATATTGCCTTTCTCTGTGAAGACTGAATTGCATTCATGTATCTCTGTGTAGCTGATGCTTGTGTTGCTGCAACCTGGTTTGCAGTGGTGTGAAATGCAGAAGCTTGTCTTGTCCCAACCTGACTTGTAGTGCCTTGATTTTCATTTTTGTGTTACATTTATCTCAACCTGACTTGCATTTCCTTGTGTTGCATTGCCTTGTGTTGCATTTGTCCCAACCTGACTTGCAGTGCCTTGTGTTTCAGTTGGTGTGACCTTGCATGTCTTTTTGTTATGTCCAGTTTTTTTGCACCTAGAGCACTTTACAATAAATCTTGTTCTTCTCAATTTTCTGTCAGTACCATCAATCTCCCCTTGATCAAGGTTTCTCTTTTTCGTTGGTCTATAAGGCATCTTCCTAAACTTAGGTGGCTTCACATCTGGACATGGAGTCTTGGCCCAAAGATTGAATCCATTCACAGGATAAAGCACATACTTATATACTGCCTTGTTCCTAGATATCCTATAATGCTCTGGAATATAATTATCAACTTTTAAATTTCTACTCTTCGTGGCTGACATGGCATGGACACATGGAAGTCCTGTAAGATCTCATCTTCTGCAGGAGCACAGGTAATCCTTCAAATTCACAGTGAATGTTTCAGCTGAGTTTTCCACATGCCTTACTTCAAGCATGTGCTCATCTTTCATTCTGCAAATAACAGCAACAATAAACACTAAAGTTGAAATAACATAACCAAGCCAACGAAATAAAAGAACCATACCTAACAAGCCATAAGTTTGTGAAGGTACTTGTTATATCCATCTTTTTTCTAATGTTGGGCAAAATATCATTACTAGATACATCTTAGAACCTCATTCTATTTTTTCCCATCTCTCCATCATGTAAGTTTTGATCTCCTCAAGCATTGTTACAAGTAGTTTGGCTCTAGATTCAACAGTAACACTATTAAAGGCCTCTGGCATATTATCGAGCACATCATTACACTTGTTGGTTGTCCTAAAATATGATATAGACCAATATCTTAGTTGAGTTTTCATCATATGAAGATATGCCTCTCCGTTGATCACTCTCATTGTCCTTATCTCTCTTTCCCAAGCTTATGAGTATGTAGATTTTGCATCCTTCCAAATAAGTTCCTTATACATCTTTCCAGGAAACTTCTTCCTGAAATTGTTATACAGATGCCTAACACAAAATTAATGTTAAACATTGGGCAACAAATCTTCCATTGCAGGTAAAAGTCCCTGTAAAAAACATTCATAAATAACAGTAAATTATCAAGAAAATAAGCATATATTTGTAAGAGTAAATGTTATATTTTGTGTAACTTCTGTTGGTCTAAAATGAAAGTGCGTGAGAGACATTCATTCCTGCATTACCTTCTTCCACAACAACATTTGCATCATTCAATCCATCACTACCTTCTTCCACAACAACATTTGCATCATTCAATCCATCATTACCTTCTTCCACAACAACATTATAATCCTTCAACTTTTCTCCAATGTCATCATGCAGCTTGCTAAGAAACTCCTCCATCTCATCTACAATGTTCTCAGGCTCCTCAACAGGACCATCACAAAACTCAGGTTGAGACAAAGTGTGTTGAATATATATATCAACACTTTGGTGCACTTTGTATAGGTCTGTAATTTCTATAGCACCTTTGTCATCAACTAGTTCATTCATCCCAATTTGTGGGTCCTTGTAATACATTTTTCTCTATATTATCCGTATAACCTAACTCCTTCAATACACCGACTAACTCGAAATAACTCCACCTATCAACCTCTACTTTCAAATCAGATACCAAGCCTTCTTCATAAACACTATGTTCAGGATTAACAAATTCATCATGGTGGTGAATTACGAGCTTCAAAAATCCGTCCATTAAAGCTAAAGCTTTGAATCTCATAACAATCATTCAGTTATGAAGACACAGAGAACAAACAAGAATAGAATACCCAAATCCCTAAATCCCATAACAAAAATCCATAACCCTAAAACCTAATTATACATAAATCCCTAAATATACCAAATACATGAATCTACCAAATACGTGAAGCCCTAATCCAGTTACGAAAAGGGTTTGTGAATACTTACCTGGATCATAATCACCTTCGCAATCACCTTCACAATAACCTTCAAAATCGCCTCTGTAGAAATCTCGTTCTCCACCTTTCGTTTGGTTTTGGGAGAAGATTGAGTATAAAACTTGGATAAAATGAACATGCCATATCCTTTCGTTTGGTTTTGGAGATTGCATT